AGAGTTCCTAAAGGATAAACTATACACACAAAAGATGAAAGAAGCCAGGCTTGGTGGCACACACCTTTAAACCAAGGACTGGGAAGGCAGAGGTAGGCAGATCTCTGGGTTCGAGGACAGCCTGGACTATAGAGTGAGTTTCAGGACAGCCAGGACTACCCAGAGAAACCCTGTCTCAGGGGGTAAGATAAAGAAAACGCAGCTAGTAGTAGCACACATGTGCAATCCCAGCACGGGGGTGGGTGAAGCAAAAGGAGACATCAAGGAGGGGAGGAAGGAAGAAAGGAAAGAAGGAAATGCACAGCCTGCGGAGTTGCCCTATGGGTGAAATGCTAGTTGCACAAGCTTGAGGACTTGAGTTCAGATCCCCAAAATCCCTAAAAGGTCTAGCATGGGGTCATGGACCTGTAATCACAGCTCCGAGGAGGCGGGGACAAGGGGATCTTGGGGGCTCGCTGGCCAGCCAGTCCAGCTGAATCAGTGGGCTTCAGGCTCAGTGAGACACACTCTCAAAAAATACAGTGGAGACACCTTTAATCCCAGCGCTTGGGAGGCAGAGGAAGGTGGATCTCTGTGAGTTCGAGGCCAGCCTGGGCTACAGATCAAGTTCTAGGGAAGGTGCAAAGCTACACAGAGAAACCTTGTCTCAAAAAACAAAACAAAACAAAACAAAATTCTCAGCCTTGGATCCAATTAGAAAATAGCAGAGAAAAATCTTTTCATTGGCCAGGGAGATGGCTCAGAAGATGAGAACTCTTGCTTTCTCTGTGCAAGCATGAGGCCCCAAGTTCAAATCCCCACAGTCACATAAAATGCCTGGCATGGCTGCAAACACAGCTGTAACCCTAGCACTACTTGGGGGTGCAGACAGGACAATCCACGGGGCTTTCTGAAAACCAGCCTAGCTCCAGGTTCAGTGGAGACCCTGTCTGTCTCCAGGGAATAAGGAGGAGAATGCTAAAACAGAATACTCAGTGTCCTCCTCTGGCCTCTGGAGGGAAGGAAGGTACATAGGAAAAAGTAAGGAGAGAATAAAGGATGAATGAATTTAAAGCTGGCCTGGTAATACAAGCCTGTTATTCCAGTTACTGAGAAAGCCTGGCTTATTTGGTGAGTACAAAGCCAGCCTGGGTAATTTAGTAGATATTTCAAATTCTTCAAAAAGTGAAAAAAAGGTTGAGGATCTGGCTTAGTGGTAGAGCACTTGACTATTGTGGGTGGAGCCCTACATTCAATTATCAGTACAAAAAAAGAAGAAAAGATAGATGGGTGGTGGTAGCACATGTCTTTAATCCCAGCATTTGGGAGACAGAGCCAGGGGGATCTCTGTGAGTTCGAGGCCAGCCTAGTATACAAAGTGAGATCCAGGACAGGAACCAAAACTACACAGAGAAACCCTGTCTCAAAAAACCAAAAAAGAAAAAAAGAAAAAAGAAAAACAAATTTCTACTACACACACACATACACACACACACACACACACACACACACACACACACACACACACACAAACAAACAATAAATATCTCAAATTCTACAAACAAAAGAATTAATCTTTACCTCTGTGTACATCAATATGATTCTATATTACCAAGTAACTGATAATAATAAGCACATGACCTATGTTAGCGAGTGGAGGCGTACAGTCTCCTTAGCCTGTAAACCAGGCTCTTCTGTATTTGAACCCCAGTGCTGCCAACGACACACCTCCAGCAAAACTTCTAAGAATGGACTTGGGTCCATTTGGGTCCTGCGTGTAATGCCTATCTCTTGATTTTATGTGTGCTCTTTTTTATGGGGTAGGTCGAGTCGTTAAGAATCAACCCCAGAGCCTTTCACGAATGCTGACTGCTGTGCTCTACTACCAAACTACATCCCAAGCTTGAGGTGTATATTCATTTTTTTTTCCCCGAGACAGAGTTTCTCTGTATAGTTTTGGTGCCTGTCCTGGATCTCGCTCTGTAGACCAGGCTGGCCTCGAACTCACAGAGATATGCCTACCTCTGCCTCCCCAGTGCTGGGATTAAAGGCATGCGCCACCACTGCCTGGCAAGGTGTATATTCTTTACAAGCTGAAAAGCAACTTCCAAGTCAGACTGCCTGAGCTCACAGCTCAGGGCTGTCATCTGATGGTTTAGGTAAGGGAACCTCCCAACGTTCTAGCTTTAATTCATGTGTCTAAACAAAATATATTTAGTTACTCTATGGCTAATAATTCAATCTGCCCCATTAAGTTCTTTAAAGTTCTTTAAAATGATGTCTACAGAGGGCTTAATACGTAGGCTATTCTCCACAAATGTCAGCACTTTGTACTCTTCCATTACTATGGTCTGTAGTGAACATTCACTATGCTCTTACCATGGCAAAGTGGCCTAGGTCCCAAAGTAGTGCCGAAGTCAGCGAGGTGTAATGGTGTAAGACTGGTTGGTGCCTCATGCTTCAAAAAAGGACAATACCTACCATCACTTCCACTAGTGTGGAGCCAACTGCTTACTGAAAACAGCAGACACTATTTAAAATTTGTCATTTTTAGGGAACTGGAGAGGTGGCTCAGTGGTTAAGAGCACTGGCTGCTTTTCCAGTGGACCCAGATTCAATACCCAGTGCCTACAAGGCAATTTACAACTGTCTGTAACTCCAGTTCCAGGGAATCTGGTACCCACACACAAACATATATACAGGCAAAATGCTAATGCACATAAAAATAAATAAATCTTTATTTTAAAAAAATTTGCCATTTTATATAATCATTGTAAGAACCTTACAAGGCAAGTGCAATTATTAAGGAAAAAAACTACAAATGAGCTTGAAGACACTGGGTGAAACAAAGAAGTGCCCCGTGTTTAGTGGATCCCAACTACAGACACTCCACGTGAACTGCTCCGACAGACACTCTACATGAACTGCTCCTACAGACTTGCAATGACAGACACAGTCAAAACTTAGTGGCTACTCAGTCTCTCTGTTTCACATTAATCTCCTTTTCAGGTAGAAGCAGGAAGACCCAATCCCAGCAATGGTTTTTGTTTTGTTTTTTCAAGACAGGGTTTCTCTGTGTAGTTTTGTGCCTTTCCTGGAACTCACTTGGTAGCCCAGGCTGGCCTCGAAATCACAGAGATCCGCCTG